AAAAAGGGAGCAAATAAGAAAGATAGTCTTATTTAGGAGGCATATACTCTTAGAACATATAAATATAACTAATTATAAAACGCCAGAAGAGATTCAAGTATTAGAAATATTGAAAGTAAAGATATATCAATAAGATATGTCATTATGAGAAAGAGATAAAATCAAAAAGAAAAAGTGGAGACAATATTTTTGTACATAATGTATTGCTTCATATTATGAATAACGAGGTGTTGAAACAAATTCATTGAATCATATCGATCGAAGAAATAATTGACCAAATAAAAGAACACAATGCAACAAAATTGAATTTACTAGAGAAATTTGAAGTTTCGAACCTGCAATCCGAAAATCCAAAGATGTATACTTATACGAAAAGGAAATGAGAAAATGAAGTCATAATACATAATGCACAAATCTCAACACAGTGAATTTCGTAAAAATCACGGTGGATGCAATCACAAGTCAATATATTGATATTCTAACAATGCATGAAATTTGAAATGCGTTTATAGCTAACTCATGTGGAATAACTATTAATTCTATCTTTGAAGGGTTTAATATGTCGAAGCATATAATTTAAGTGATAGTATCGTGAGGGAAATAAATAAGCGTTATACTTTTTTTCTTTGACCGAAGTTTTGTGACATTGGGTTTTCCGATAATGTTTTTCATGAGCCAACTTTTGTGGCATATTCAAAGGATAAATATACCCTTTTTTCTTCATTATGATTTTTCCCACAGATTTTTTTCCTAATAAGGTTTTAACGAGGTATATTCTTTGTTTAATGAATCTCCATAATTTACAAAATATTTACCCTCAAAATAATACTCATATATGTATGAGATTCCTGAATAAAATGGCAAGAGTTGCTTTTCAATTTATCATATTACTACAATCATCAAAGATTGATAAATATCTCGTATGAAAATGATATTGTTTGAAGCTTATAACAATATAACACGAAACGTACTTCATCAAAATTATGATAATGAAGACATTAGCCTATATGATATGGATGGCTTGAAAAAAGGACTTTCATTAGTTGAAATCGGATGGAGTAAATGTACTCTTTTTCCATCGATCAAGTCTTGTCTCATTGGATTTTCTTGACAAAGTTTTAATGATGAAGCATTTTATTACTCCGATTTTGTTTTGACTGGTACTTGTATTCTTTTTTCCTTTGTTAGGTATTTTATCTCACTTGAAATCTTATCGAACTATATTT